CTTTTTATGTCTCCCCCTAGTTGCTCTCTCTTCCCACTGCCTATCAGTACCAGGAGGCAACAGCAGTAACAGCTGAGGAGTACCAGAAAGGCAGATGGGAGGGTGATAAAAGGCTCATGGGATGGAGGTATCTAATTAAGGGGCTCCTCAGCTTTGGTGCTTCTCTTCCCCAGTTTCACTGGGGTTAGATGTTCACTGCTCATCTAGCACATTGCATCGCAATAAGTTTTTCCACCCACACTCATCGGCTGCTTTCCAGACCTTGTTGGAGTTTATCTCTAGAAATTTCCCTCACGTGACATATCTTTCCACACTTCTGCCTGTGATAGGAACAGCCAGTACGCTCCAACTGTTCTCACAACCATGGCCTTCCAGGACTTCCCCATGGGAAAGTTACCAAGACCTTATCACTACTGCAATATGCAATTTGTGAGCTTGCACAAAAATTAGCCCATGATCCCTTAAACACTTGTCCTGAACTGGGGCTTCTGTTGGCTTCCAAAAATGGCCTGCAGAAAGCTACACTGCCAGCTCAACTGATTGGGCAATAAGGGCAGAGAGAGAAAACGTCCCTGGACCTTGCATCTGGTTCTGTTCCCTCCAGCATCCTGCTGGCATAGCAGGTGCTTTCATTTTCTTTTGGCAAAGATTATTAGCAAATTACTAAAGTGGGTGAAATTACTAGGCTCTTCTGAACAACATACTTGTCTCCCTGCCCTGCTCCTGGAAAATGGCATGTGGTACTGTGGAGAAGAGGGCTTGCGGAATAGCCTAAGTCAAGGCCATAGGATCTGAACTGTTCCCAATGTTAACTTCAGTCCTAAGAAATCCACACACCTGGTATCGGACAGATTAGTTGCTCAGATCAAGAGCTATCCATATTTTCTCTCTTGAAAATGCAAAGTTGCAACTGCAATAAGCAGCCATCTACAGCAGTAGTGTGCCTTGGTGGATGTTTCCTTTGCTGTCCCCAAGCACAGCTTGGCTTTTGTTTTGCATGAGGCTGGAAATCCTCTGAAACAGCTAACGGATGCTGATTCACAATGCTGATATCGTAGAAATAAGAGTTTCCCTTCCTAAAGGATTATGATCTGAGCACGGTGACAAGTATACAAGCTTGCCCTAGTTACAACCCATCCAGCTTGGCCGCTTGTCTGAATAACTGATGTTGTGGCAGAAGGGAACCCACCTCTGGAAGCCCATGTACGGAGTGCAAGGCTTACCTGAAGCTGAAGCATAAAGACCAAAGTGTGTGGCAGGACCGCCTGGCCCTCCCCTTCCCTCACTTGTGGGGATATCCTTGGTGCATGGCAGGCTCCAGCCGACCTCTCCCAAGGCTGCACCTAACCCGGCGTGTGGGCCACTCCACACCAGGTCCTGGGGTTGTCCACCATGTCCCAGACCAGGAAAAACAGAGCGTCCCCAGGACCCCGACTGCCCTTTGGCTGGTGGCGAAAAGGTCTGCACCCAGCCCTCGCCCTGGCAGTGGTGCAGGGAGGCGCTGGGGGCCAGACCCACGTGCTCCCGCATCCTCCCAGCCTGAGCACCCCCTCAGACTGCTTGGAGGGGCCAGTTCTCCACGCACCCACCCTCTTCAGAGCAGACCTGGAAGTTGCCTGCAGCTGCAGACCACAAAAAAAGTGGTTTAAATAATTCTCCATCTTGAAAAGGTGAGCGGGTTGCACCCAGATATTATTTTCTCATCACCTCTCTTCATGACACTATTGGGGCAGGCATCTGAAGATCTGGAGCAACCTCCTCACTCAGATTACTGTTTCTTCTGACAACTAAGTTTGCTAGAGATTTATACTGGCAAAGAGAATTATCTGGTAAAATGTCCCAAGGATGGGCCTTTTTAGTTGCTATGCCTAAGGCACGTTAAAAAAAAATAAATAAATCACTAACAAGCAATTTCATGGTCAGTGGCAAAAACATATTTCTTCCCAAGCTACTGCAAGTGTGAAAAGCCTAGGTATTTCTCATCCATTTACAATGGATGAGTAGCAGACAGGGAAATTTTCTGCACAAAATGAGTCATTTCAGCTCAAAGATTTTAATAAATGTCAAAAGAGCTGCCGTCCCCCCCGGACACCCGGCAGAACAGCTGTGGTGCCTTGCTACTGTGGATGCCCACAGTGGGTGGGAGGGCAGTGCTTTGGGGGGGCAGAACCAGAAAGCACTTCTAGCAAAAAAGCAGTGTAAGGCTCAGGGTGAAATTTCTTGCCCTATCTATACCAACAGCCTATGGGAACATGCTTGTGGAAACAAGCTGGCGTTACTTGTTGGTATCGTTTTAGAGGAAAGTTTTCACTGAAGTCTTGGAAAACCCCGACCCAAAAAATCTGTTCCTCAGTTACTGTAGTTACTCAGGATGCCATGTTTCATATATATGCCTTGCTGTAAATCTGTAGTGACACTGAAAGCATAGGTAGCAAACCAGAATTATCTCACTCATTAATTAGGAGCCATTCTGGATATTTGGGGATGAGTGGTCTTTAACAGGTACTCAGTGATGAAAGGCACAAAGCTCCTGGGACAAAGCCAAAGTATCTTTATACACATCTCGGGCTACAGGCAGCAGAAACTCACCTTCTGAAACTGCTAAAAGCAAGCAGCTCTCTGTAGGATAATGAGATACAAATAATAAGCAAAGGATGTGCCTCTGGGCCAGTGTCCTTAAAAATATTTCAGCTTACGCTGTGATGGAGACAGCATGAAAAGGGAACAGTAGTGGCTCAGTTTACACGGAGTTTGAGGATGATCTTTAAGCAGTTAGCAATTCACGAAGGTCCATCTGTAAAATGGACATATTCTTTGAAACATATCTGGGGATAGCTATACCCTGATTTAATATTTGAAAATGCAGTAAATTGCTGAACTTTTTAGTCACTGCGTGTTCCGTGCCCCATCCCCTTCCCTGTCCTCAGCCAGTGTTACGCTACTATTAATATTCTTCATTTAATACTTCTCTCCCAGTTGCCATAACTAGTTGGTATAATTTTTTTTTGTTAATGCATAAAATGTGAAAAGATATGCTTTGTTTCCACTGTTAATAAACCCTATCACCCTCTTGGGGATTGCTACACCAGCCTTCAAAAAAACACAGGGCCATTGTCACTACCTATAACCATTTGTTCATTGTGACGAGAGTAAAATAGGTATTTAGTCAGCACGTAGTGTGAGAAAAGTGCAGGGAATAAAGATTTTTAACATCCTCGCTCTAAACTAACTTTCTTCAGGATTCAGTAAGTTCATACATCTCCCTTCTCCAAATACAAAGCATAATGCATGTTCCTCACCACCCCAGAAAAAAAAGAAGTTGGGATTAATGTTTGTGACGTTGGTGGAGCACGACATGGGCATAATACAATGAGTAAGTCATAAGACCTATGGAGTCTTTAATTCTTCTCTTCCTAAGAGAAAAAAGCACATTTTACTCACAAACACTCATAGAACAGAAAATAAATGTTAGAACAAGTTTTCTCTGGAAATCTCTAAATCTCCCTCCCTTCCCATCCTGTTTAATTTCTACACTGTTACAGCATGTTAACATTTATAGCCAGCAAGTAGACCTGGCAGAAAATGAACCATCCACCACAAAAACATATTGCTAGCAAGTCCTTGGTAACGTACAGCTAAAAACATGGCATGATGCTGCAAAATTCACCTACCAAACACCAGAAAACCCAGCACATAGTCAATATAGTGATTTTTGTCATTACTGACCTCATTTTTCATCTTATTTTCTACAAGTTTGGGTTACCAGAATCGCAGCACTAGCTCAGCAGGCTTTGGCCAGGCACCACCCTCCGGCACAGCACACCGTCTCGCTGGCGGCAGCAGCGGCGGCAGCTCCTGGCTCTGGGCAAGAACAGGTGTATGCAAAGGAGAAGACAACCCTCCATCCCACCACCTCCCCGGGCCTGGGGCACTAACAGCGGCAGAGCGGCTCCCGGGGGGGGGCGCCCGCGCTGCGCAGGGGAGCCTGCTTGACCTCCACGTTTTGTAAAACACGCTGTAGCCCAAAGCACGGCCCTGGTTAGTGCATTACTGGGTCAGGTCCTGTGGCTTGCGTTACAGAGGAGATCAGATGAAACAGCTGCAGCCTCCAGGCCTGAAAAGCTATTAAAAGGCAAGATATTTCTTCTCTCACTGTCTTCAGATCTTTTCCACTGAATCTCTACATCTGGGGGAAAGGACGAAACTAGAAAGCCCTGTATATTATTCCATTAGGTTGTTTCAAAAAAACATGGGTTTAAACCCAAACCTTTCCTTCCCCACAAAGACTGGTTTGGGAGTCTCATTTTTTCCCCTGTTCCTAGTCACCACAGATTTTGGTACATCTTGTAGATAAATAAAAGCATTAAATACCTTGTTACCATAAATACCAAAATCACTTTATTTTTTCACATAGCTGGAACATAATTGTATTTCTCAGACCTCAGTTTTGCGCCTGAATGAAAGTGAGCCAAGTTAGCGTTTGTGATTCTGGTAACCCAAACTTGTAGAAGGTAACAACACAGACTAGGTGCATAGTGACAGAAATTGCTATCTTGACTATGTGCTGGGTTTTGGCATTTATGATAGTTTTTTTCTGATTGCTGTGAATGAAAGTTCTAGATATATAAGTGTAATTCACTGAAATATAAGTTCAAAATCTTTCACGCATGTGAAACTTTATCCATTGCCAGTAAGTTTATATATTAGTTGAAACGGTTTGCTGACTAATGCGCTGCTTTGGCTGACTTGTTAAATAAAATGCTGGAACGGCATGCTCTGATGATTCATCTCTCTCTCCCCTTCCAGATGTTATTCTCAACTGAATATGCAAATTGTGCTTTCTTCCACAACTCCTGGTACCTTTTACTGAAGATTTTTCAATTCCAAACCCAATGTAGTTTTTCGTTCGCTTGCAATATCCATCATGAGTTTCTACAAATGGCATAGAATTTAAGGACAAAGGAATTTTTAGGAAATAGAAATCAAATTAGACAGAAGATCTATGTGTAATAATCTGATTTTGACATTAACATATTAGACATCTCTTGTGGAACATTAAAAAAAATCACAGTGAGGAGCAATTGTCATGCGAAAAAAGTTAATTTCTGAAAAAAAAATGTACAAAGGCATCATGAACTGTCAGCCCCGCATATAGGTCAGCCAGATTTTTCAGCTAAGAGTCAGTGAAGGTGCTTCATTTTCATTAGTATCAGACTTGCCCTAGCTGGGACACACCACCAGTATTTTCAATCCAATAAGGACTGGAGGGTTGTTAAATGCCAATAGCAGAGTTGCGCTGCAGGAGACAGAGGTCAGGTTTGGGACAGAAAAGTGTTGGGCAGCCGCTGCGCCTCCTGCCCTGCAGAGCAGACAGCAAGTGGAGGACAGAGAGTGGGATGGAGGGGACAATGACCCCCTTTGCAAGGGTTTGCACAGGGGCAGCACAACACTAATTTCTAGCACGGGTGGTGAGAAGAAGTCTAAATGCCATGAGGTGGATGTTGACCAGGCTCAAGTTCCCTGGGGGAAGACAGAGTCGGGAGGAGATGAGCCCCTGGTCCCGCTGTCCAAAGTGGCACGGGCATGTCCGGTCACAAGAAGAGGGAGCACACAGGTGGATGGATGGACGGACAGCCTCCCTCTGAGCCTGTGTCTGCCTAGGAAGGTGGGATGTCGGCACCTCAAGGCAGACGTGGGGAATATCAGCTCCTACAGTATGACCAGAAGTTTCAGCAGCTTAGCATTTTCCCCCCTTTTTAATTTCACTCTGAATGGGAGATTCAGCCGGACAGATGGAAAATCAGGGACTGGCACATCTGCTATGAAAAGCTGAGTCCTAGAGAGGATGGAGGGTTGTTAAATGCCAATAGCAGAGTTGCACTGCAGGCAACAGAGGTCAACTTGAACCCAACAGGTTGGTCAGGAGACCAAAATGGGGATCTTTTAGGGGCCAAATTAGAATGTAACTTTTCTTTTCCTACCAACTGTGAGGAACATTGTTCATTAAACCCTTTCAAAATGTGTTGGTCTATTTATTTTCACCGTTGTATGTCCCTGAGGAGGTGGCCCATTAGCCAGACTTCTTGCAGATGAGACTCTGGGAAAAAGTGCTCTCAAGCTACAAGGAAACCTGTGGAGCCAGGTTTTGGGCCAGGGTGCTGAGATAGCAACAAGGGCAGAGCAAGAAGAGCATTGCCACAACAGTCTTTACAAATTAGTGCAAACTGTGAACAACAGCAGCATGTCTCCTGCTGTGATCAGGCACAGAGAAAACCAGCTATGTGCAGCCAGACAGCCAGCAAGTAGCGGTGCTGTGCCTGGAGTTAGCCCAGACAGCACCCGGCACAGCCAAATGACTTGCTCCAGCTCTGCATGAGCATGGTGGCCAGTGCAGCCCTGCTCCCACAAGGATGAGCCAGCTGAGGAGCCTGTGAGCAGGACACATGCCACGGGGGTGAGAGCTCTCTGAACACCAGTGCCCTCCCCCAAGCCTAGGGAGGGCTGAGATGTGCAGGTTTGGCGGGGGGACCCCAACACAGCATCCTGGTGAGCAAGAGAAATAACACAGACAACAAGGAGACAGGTTGACCTTGGCTAAAATTCCTGCTGTTGAAGAGTTAGACTCCTCAAGGAGGAAACTAAAAACTGTCTTCTTAGTGACAAAGGAGAAATATGTGAATCCAGGAGAAAGATGATCAGAAGAGACATGCCTATGAACAGGAGCTTATTGATGTGAGAAAAGATACAGTGCAGGGGGGGAAGGATTGCAAAGATGTTTTGAGACATGGGAATGCATCTACTGGTAGAAATAACGTAGATATGAAGACTGCTTATTTTAGAATAAAGATAAAGACAGGGCTGATACAAAGCCCATTTAATTTTGTTTTGCTTTGGATCATGAGCAATGATAGAGATATACTGAGTAATTAATGATGGTTTGAAGTCAACATCTGATTAGGCTGACATCTGTGAGGTCCTCATCACTGGCATTTCTGAATCCACACTGGATCTCTCATAATAGATAGATAAGAAAACTGAAAAGTGGCCCAACAGATTGAGAACGATAAAAGGAAGTCTTTTGGTTTTATACTGTACATCAGTAACCCATTTAAGCCACTCCTGCAAAATATACCCAGGACCAAGGACTTTATGGCTAGTGAGCATCCACAGCCCAAGCTCGTACTTTACACTGCAAGTCAGTGTCTGTACTCAGAATCAGTAAGTGTTTGTGGTTCAGAAGAACTTTTCCAATAGCCAGGATATTGTGTAATTATTCCTGTTGAGATATGCAGCACTTTTCACTGAAGCAGATAGTACTGGCAGTTGTTGGAGGTAAAGTCATGCAGATGTGGTATAGCAATGGACACTGCAGCACTGAAAAATGTCTGTGTTCCCAGGAAAACTATATTTTACCCAAATAACCGGTTTCTGTCAATGATCATAGAATGACAGAGAAGATGCCACCTATTTTGAAGGAAAGAGACCTTGTGAGTTAGCCATTCTCCCGCCTGGGGAAAAGCTGCTGTATCCACATCTGATAGATGTTTTTCAAACTCATTCTGAAAAATCACCAACAAGATTCAGTAGCCTCCTAGCAAATTGTCCCAGTCCTTCCCTATCCTCACATGAGACAGCGTATTTGCAAAAAAAAATTAAATACCTCCTCCAGCTATTTCCTCAGCAATATTTCCGTGCATTGTTACAACACAAAGCACAGTCAATGAAAATTAAATGGGTAACTTAATCTTTTGAGATAAGAGCAAGAAAGTCTAGGTAAAGTTTCTAATGAAATTTCTTAACGTCAGGACTTCTGAGCTGCTCTTCTGATTTATTAAGGCTCTGTTCCCTCCAGACCCTCTGATATACAGAATTTCAGGAAGACTGATATCTCCAGGAGGAAGCAAAGGTGAGGTGATTTTTTGATGGGAAGCTAATATCAGCAATAAATACAGGGCAGCTTCTGCTGCATCTTAACATAAACCTTTCTGAGAGGCTGAATATACTATGCATTTCCTTAATGAAGATACATTTTTTCAATTTAAAATCCTATGCAAGTGAATTATTGCTTTCACTGATGATCGCAGTAGGAAATCAATTCAGTATTATACATTCTGAAATAGATCCCATAAATTGCCATAGTTCCTAATTGCAATGCAAGTCTGACAACCCACACAGCTGAGGCTCTGCCTCTCCATTTAGATAGCGGATGGTATTCTGACTGCCACCTTACAAACGGAGCAAGTGAGCTGGCAGTAAGGATAAGACCGAGAGAGATCTGCTGACATCAGATTAATATAGACATTTCTTTCTTGATAGTATTTGATTTTCAGAGGCTCTTGAGAATTTAGAGTTCAAGTCTCTGAGATTCATGATATTCTGTACTGTACAAGGTCATTCATGTCACTGACAACTTTATGGGCAATAGTTCTTGCCATCAGATAGCATTCAATATGTGCAAACACAGACTGAAAACCACATTCATTTTTGACTGTAACATTGCAGGTCCAGTCTTGTGAACTACTGGGAGCACAATTTATCTTACTTGTGCTGAATTAATCGTAAGAAAATATGGGAAACATTAGACCTATGTCTCAGAGAGGGAAACTCTCACGGTGGTTAAGGGATTAACATCGAACCAGAGAGGCTGCTGCTGCTGGGGCAGGTACAGGAGCTCAAGGCTCCTGGAAGCCTCCAGCAGACCAGTTCCCCCTGATTTAAGATGTATGGGCAGTGAAAATTGGTACCAGCATGCATAGTTCAGAATAAAACCACTACGTCTCACAGCCTGAAAATGTGTCTTCGGCCTCACGAACCAGTGAAGTTGAACTAAGTGGAGACAGACTCTCCTTTTACCTCTATTTCCCATTTTGCTACAACTAGTGAAACACCATTGCCTGTCTCATGGCAGAAGTTTACCAAAACTCGGGTCTGAAGAAACGTTTCTCCCATCAGAACAACCTCCATGGGAAAAATAAACAAACCTTTACGGAGCCACGCAGGTGTTGCACCAGTTGCTGGATCCCACATTTCTCAACTCAAAGAGGTGCACATTTTTAGCTTTGCTGTGTCCAAGCTACTAACCCTAATGATATTTAAACTAATACCACAATGTGCACAGTCATAACACTCAAAATCCGTTCTCACAGGAAGGTGATGAAAGCCTCTAGAGTAGGGGATGAGGGAGCAGACAAGCCTGCAAACTTCTCCTCCTGGCGAGCAATATCCATCAAGGAGAATATTTAAGTGATGCACAACCATCCTTAGGGGCCCTGCTTCTCTCTTGCTCTACAGCCAAAGGACTTACCTTGAGAAACGTCAAAGCATGCAAAGCCCAAAAGAAGAGAAACAACTCATTCCTTTGGTTATCTTTAAACCTTGCAAAGGACAGACATTGAATGCTGACCTACTGTGCCTATGAAAACATTTGCAGTTCTGTCCTGGAATTCAGCTAAGAAAAACAGTTCATGTAATGAACACAGCCAGATCTCAGGTGATATAGCTTAGCGCTTCTTCTAGAAGAGATGAAGGTTTCTTTAAGAATTTCACACATTTTTGTGGGCTTACTCCAAACCCCTGCATCTGCTTTGATAAAACCATTTGCACCTCAGAGGACAAGATGTGTTAGTGTTGGGGGCAGCTGGGCTCAGGGTGAGGAGATGTACAGTGGCTGGTCAGCCAGAGCCTGCTGGGAGTTGCTACGGCTCCACTAGACCACGGGAAAGAGGTGGCAGGATGCAAAGTCAAAGCTGACAAAAGATGTGCAATATATTATACACGGCTGACGTTGGGCACTGAAGGCTTTGATTCTCACACTAGTGGAAGAATAAGAGCCACTACCTTGATTTTGACAGTGAGATTGGATAGACAAGAGGAAGAAGCTGCACAGATACTACAGGAATAAATATAACACTAAATGCAGGGGAAACCTCTGTGTGTGTCTGTGAGTGGGTGGATGTGTGCATGTGCATCTACAAACACATGTCAGGTGAGCTGTTCATGTATTACAACTTCTCAGCCTGGCCTAAGTGGATGTGGCAATAAACTGTGAGGGAACTGTATCCATAATATCATTCACTGTCTGTGAAAAGGTGTTTTCAATTTGCACTGTCACATAGCAGCTAATGTTTGGTATCTACCGAAGACAGTAAATGATGTCTTTGATTTTTTTCTTCAATATAATAATTTCGGAGTAAACAACCATTTGTTCCTCTTTCTTTAAAGATAGTCACAGAATTACCGATAAAGGAGAAAGTTCTCAAGTGGCTCAGGCAGGTGCAGCTTGTGGACTGTATATAGGCACGACCGACCCAGATGCTTTCTGATACACAACCGGCACAGCTGGGCTAGGCTGGCAGGACCTGTAAAAAAACAAAGGCAAGAACAAGGACCCCCAACCCCACCACCAGTATAAGTCAGAAAGCAACAAACACCAGCAAGATCTGAAAATCAGATCAAGCACTACACAATGACTTGCCAAAGTCAGGGAGAGCTAAATACGTTATTGTTCATATTTAACTTATGTTGTCAAAACTGTCTCAGCAATTTGAAAACTATGAGCACTGAAAACCTTTTTCTTCATGCACGGCTAGGCTTGTCTGCATCTTTTCTTGAGCAAATACTTAAAATGCCATAAAGGTGTCTGCACTGGAGAGAGAGCACCAGGAGGCATAGCCCTTGCTCAGAAAATAACCCAACTCCCAGCAGTGTTGTGAGGATAAAGAGGGATTACGGGGAGCTGCAGAGGTGCTCAGTATAGACCAGCCATAACAGGGTGGATATGGCAAATACAGTTAGTTGTTCATATATACAGAACATGCTTCTTCCAACCACTGGTGTCTCAGCAGGTACCTGCACAAGTAGCAACTGCAACTTAGCCTTTTTACATGACCACACTGTCTCTGAATATTTACGTATGTCAGTCAGTTTATCAGCGCTCCCCAAAATAATTTCTTAATGTGTCATCCAATTTTAATTAAGTCTGACTGAAAGGAAAACGTCTCGAAGATAGAAAGTCCCCAAAAATTTTGTGCAAAAAGGCACCCAGGGTAAAAAAATAAAAATAAAAATATAAAATAAAAAAATATATATATAAAAGAAAAAAAAAAAGAATAAAAAGATGAGAGGCCTTTTTGCCCTTCCCTTGCCGTGAAGGAAAGGTTGACACATGTGATAAACTCTTGTTAAACATCTGAGAGTCAACTGGTAGGAAAGCTGTTGGAGGACTCACTGGGACGACGGGGAGGCCGGCTTGGGCAGTGGCTTGCACAGCACTGCACAGAGCAGTGCTGTCCCGGTGGCTTCCCTGCAGGGTGACGAGGCAGGTGCCCCCAGGCCATCCCCCCGCGGGTCATGTGAGGGGCACACCAGGCACAAACCCACTGGAAATGAGGCTCTGTTGCTTCTGCAATCTCATGCATTTGCACATGCAAGCAACTTGCCAGCGAACATGTCCCTGCCTCCCCTTCGCTTTCCTCTTGCTGGAGCTGCCCCAGGTTGAACCTTTGCACCTGCTCAGAGGTGCTGTTTTCGAGCCCTGGATCAGCCCTACCCCTCCGGTTTCTGGCCAAACAGTAGTGATCACAGCAGTGTTTGGCAAGCAATGGGTAGAGTTGTGTGTTTAAAAGCCTGTCCTTATATCTTCCAGGCAAGCTTCATAATCTGTGCTTTTACTACAGGAAAATTTAGGAGCCTAAACAGGCTGATAGTGCCCCCTCTGAGAAGAAATTAACAGAAAAATATAGGATATATAGAAAAGAGCACTTGCACTACTGTCACTGGAAGTGAAGAAAGAAGCTACCATCTCCCAAAGCATTTAGGAAAACAGAAACATTTTATATTTCACACCACTTAATAGCTAGGAAGAGGAGCAATTAAAGGGAGCCATCTAAGTAACCATGGCAGAAAAGTCAGGGGATAGAAAGAAAACTTTTCAAGAGAAGTCCCTGGGGTGCTTATTTCAAACAGAAGGGCCTGAGAAAACACAGAAGTAGGGGGAAAGGGCAGCTGCAGATGTCAGCTACCTCAAAGTATCTGAAAGCGGGACTGAAGGGATAGGTGAGGAAACTAAGGAAACTTCATTTCTGAAAAATGAAGAGCCAGCAGGAGCTGAAGTGCCGTGTAGTGCCTCTGACTGTAAGGGAGGAGAGGGTGACAAGCTGAAAGTGGAAATCAAAAGAAGGTTCAAGAAGAGAAAATTATTTATATCGGAACATTTCTTTATCTACACAAACTCTCAATCACACAGGGCAACTGGAGCAGGACATGTGCAAGCACTGCCTTTGCTCACGCAGCCTGCCATCGCCGAGTCCTGAACATCTCAGAGGCGGGGACAGAAGTCACAAGAGGTGAGAAGCATTCAAGCAAAAGTCCTCCCAGAAGGTTTTAGACATGACAAATTAAAGCTCTTCATGAAAAGCCATGGAGAAAGGGAGTAGGACAGAAGGATATTAAACCAATGTTTCATTTCCTCTATAAAACCCACCTGTGTGCGGAGGGCTGGCACAAAGCTTATGTGCACCATTGACAATATTAATTTACCATCCAAGAGCTATTTTGCAGCTGGAAGCAGGCTCTCTGTGCACATCGTGCTTTGCTCCTTGGTGGGGAGCGAGGTGTGCCCAGGAAGGCGGCAGGCTGCCCACCTGGGGAGCACCATTCACCCTCCCTGCTGGCAAAGCCCTGGGGGGCATAGACCGACTAACAGGGTGCCAGTGAGCTGGGAAACACAGTGCGGGGACTTAATTCAGCATGTCCATATCCCAGGGATATTGCTATTGGATGCATCAAGTTTTGGCTGCATGTGGTGGAGGTGAAAATGGCACAAGAGGATCTAGATTAATTTCTGCTCAGAAGTTTCTTCCAGTAGACTGTAAAGATAATCAGAAATATTGCAGGAAGGCTGACAGTAAGCTGCAAAGGGCACTGCTGGTTTGTGCTGGGTTTGCAGCCCCATGAACCACATGGAAGAGCTGTGTGCCGTGAAGCTGAATAGCCACCTGGCAAATAGCTCTGCTTGCTCCTGGTGACCAAGGGCACACACACTCATGCCGCTTTTTCTGCAGGAAGCAGGACATTGAGCCACGGTGAGAAGTTGAACACAAGATGGTAGTACTAAAATATTATCAATGAATAAACTTTCATGGTGGTTTTTAATCCTTACAGTCCCGATAGGTAAATAAGTATAATTTTCCTTCAGTAGACAGGAAAAGAAAGTACAGAACAACTGACCGATTTACCCACTAAAACCCTGACACTTGGTGGCAGATCTAGCAACAAAATAGAGATCGCTTACTTCTGTGTCATGTGCTGCAGGCTTGATATCAGTAGAGAAGCTAAGAGAATTTATATAGAGCATTACTTATAAAAGCAGTTAAGAAAATGTACTTAGGTAAAGGAAATAAATACTGTTCTACTTAAAAAAAAAAGAAGAAGAAAGGAAACCATTACCTTCCCGAAGCAGCAGCACCTGCTCCACTCTGCTGTTGGGTACGGCAAGATCCAGGGCACATTTGAGTTCAGCATTTCTGCATCTCGGGTTAGCACCATAGTCTGTCAGCAAGACGACTACCTCCACACTGGATTTCCTTGCTGCCGCGTGGAGGGGGGTGTCTAATCGCTTCCCCATGTTAACATTGGCTCCTTGAGTGAACAGGAGTGCACGGTTAGATCCAGGAGGCAGCCGGAACTGTCCAAACTCGCATCACACAGGCTGGTTTCCACCAGTAGCCTCAATAAATGAAGGGGATAGATGGCACAGAGGCCTCCCTCATTTCTCTCAACAGCAGCAGTGCAAAACTCAGCAGGTCAAATGCCTGCTGTATAAATGCCCTCTGAGCTACCAAACCCTGTCTGTGATGGACAGAACCGAGCAGTTTGACCTTCAACCCAATAGATGTTCAAAGCCTACCATATGGTCTGTAAATTTGTTAATAACATAAAATCTAACATAGATTATGTTAATTTAATTACTGGGGGAAAAAAAAACCTCTAGGTATCTCAGTGTAATAACTCCGGGAGCACAGCATGCGAAATGCTTGCTCTGGGCTCTCCAGGCACAGCAGGGCCACACTTCGAGCAGCTGTAAGTCAGCTAATGTACACCGACAGCAAAAATTTATGCTAGCTCATAGGCTGTGCCTGGACCTGCAGTGATTATTCTTTCAAGCAGCTTTACTGCTGTCTTCATCATCCACTGAGAAGCAGGTGAAGTTAATGCTTAGCATGGCAGTTTATCATAATCAAGAGTTGATTTTGGTCACTAATATTAGTCAGCATTGTCTGTGCTTCCTGTTATCATTCTAGAAAACTAAAAGTATTTTATTTTCACATTCAGACAGTCTCAGGGAGGTGTCTGTAATTAGGGCTTTTTTTACTGAGGAAATAATAAATTCTTCATGAATGCAGGTGAAATTTTTAATAGCTTCAAACGAGTCTCACAGACTCGGGCTGCCCAAACACCTCTTGTGGAAATAACCCATGATGTTTGCAGTGGAGAGGCAGCCCGGAGAGACCAGCAGCGCTGGCTCACACCACCACAGCTCTTCCCTGGCCCCTTTTCCAGGTGTACCTAGCTCCAAAAGCTTCTTGACGCAGTCTGTCCTCTGGTACGTGCAAGCCACATAGAGCGGGGTCCCATGCTGCAGGTCTTCTTGGTCAATGTCAACCTGATGGGCCAGAAGGATCTCCATGCACTCCCTGTGCCCTGTGGAGAGAGGAAGAGCCGTCAATGAAGTGCTGTAGAGCAGAACACACACAGATACAACCAACGAGGCACAAGAGCTGGGAATAAGCCAAGCCTATTTATCCGTACCAGCACGGACAAGTTTTTCTTTGGAAAAATATTTTAACATCAATAAAAGATGTATTCCTCACTTCGTTATTATTAGCTTCACTCACAGCCTGAACGTTACCTCTCTTGACTGCTTCGTGAATGGGCGATGCAAGGTGGTTCCTGAGCTGCGGCTTGGCTCCGAATTCGAGCAGCATGTTGACACAGGCCACACTGCCACTGCAGCAGGCGTTAAACAGAGGAGTGATCCCATCGATGGTGACTGCATTGACCTGGAACAGCAAAACACACTCGGGATAATCCGATTTAAGAGGAACGCCCTTGCAGTGTGCATCATGCGCACACCAAAAATGCACCAGAAAAAGACGCTTGTCTTGTTTAATTTCAGAATTGATTTTGTTAACAACTTTCAGAGTTATATGTTGTGGCAGAACATATGTTACATTCTCCTTTGAGGTCTGCCCTCTTTCATGGATAGCTAGTGCCATAAGGCAGTGACACTGCCTGCTATGAATGCTCCTCCTAGAGTGGCTCAGGAAATGCAGATTTTAATTTTTTAGTGTGTGGAGAACTCGAGTATCTTCATGATCATCTAGTTTGCACCAACCCAAAGCCAGAATACGCTCAGATAAAAATGGCTTTGCTTTTTAAATGAAAACATTTACTTCATGTTTAATGCTTTCACCTGAAAACACGTTTCCAGCAAAAGAAATTTTCATGGAAACATAGTCTTAATGCCGAACAGAAAAGGAGCTTGAAAGAGTTTGTGTTCATATGCGTGTGTGTGTGTGTGTGTGTAAGAGAGAATTTCCTTCCTCCACCTCCGATGTAAAGACCTGGCAAGAACCACCATCTGTCATTCTCCACCGGCACAGCACAATCCCCAGCCTATGTTGTGCACAGTACCGTAGCTGCTATGTTTAACTACATAGCAAGCCCTCAGAGGCAAATTATGCAGCAAATCTGCATGTCTTTAATTCTGTGGCACACTGGAGAAGGGCAATGGATTATGCAAGCACGTGGCAATTTGTGCCATTTCCAAATCAGGGAGAAGAGGAAAGAGACGGGAGAGGAAGGGCTGGAGAAGTCCTGGGCCACTGGGGAAGTCGGAGGACTTTGCTATCAGTGCAAGCATAGGACCTGCATTGCAAAGGGGTCGGAGCACCAGGGTAGAAATACATTAGCTCACACAATTTAACTAGCAAGATATTTTGCCTTTAAAGCAGAGAAAGACAGTAATGTTTAAGAACCTATTGGTTTATTCTGGGTAATTCAGCAGCAGACCATCTGCAGTTGATACCTTCCTAGATAACATTTGTCCTCGTTCGTTTGAACTACTGACTTGTTTACGATGCTGTATGAGTTAACTCCTTTTTCCACACGGTGCTTTTCCCACAATTACAAGCCAGTCCTTGCCATTTCCAGTGTTTCGGTCCTTGCTGTCTTCAGCGGCTCCAACCACGCAGCAGCCAGTGCGAGGCCACGCTCCCCCACGTGAAGCTGCACTTGCAGATTAGGCAGGTACACTGGAGGAGGCAGCCCCTGCTCCTTGGTGCCTCCTCTGCTTGCTCACCTTCATGGAAAACCAGTGGAGGGAACAGACCTGGCTGGAAAATAATCATGATGGGGCCAGGAGGTGGGCGAGCCGGCATGGTATGGGGAGATACCAGGTACCACAGCATGGGGGACATCTGTCTGCTCAGATTTTGGAGCCCAAAATGCAGCTTGTTCTTCCTGAAATCGCAAGGCTCCAACTAAGACTCTGTTTCAACAACATTGTCACTACAGATCCCAGCCTCTTCCTTGATCTTCCTCCCCTCCTGCTAATTGCTGAGCTAAACTATCCCTCATCCTGCAGAGCTTCTAAAACAGCAAAAGGAAAGAAATAGATATGCTTCGGGGGTATCTGTATTTCAGGCAGATTATATGCTGCAGGCCTGCAGCCCATCACTGCCCCCCGCCTCCCTCCAGTCTCATCGGGCAGATGTGGCTGGAGATGCTGGAGGCACTGGGGGTCTATCAGCATCATTTCACAATAGGGCCAGCAATTCAGCAAGATGATAACCAAGGGTAAGCAAGGAGATAAGTGAAAAATAAAAATTACTTCCTTGCTTTCCCTTTCTACTGGGCATTGGTTTAACTCGTAAAAGAGGAAAGAATGGTAAGACAGCTGTTGTGGAGTAAATGGTTTGGTAAAAAAAGGAAATAAAGAAGAGCTCAGCAATAAAGGAGAGCAGCAGAATGGCACATTTTCTCCCAGAAGTTAGACAACGGCCTGTTGACTTTATTTATGAACAGAGTGCAGGGGAAAAGCAAAAACCAAAAAACGCCGGAGCTATATTTTATACCAGGAACAGGCTGATTTCTTAGGAAAGCAACAGGTAGTTGAGAGACGATTTCTCTGAGCTATAAAAAGGCAATCTCATTAATATACCAAAATCAAGTAAAATTGAGCAGAAAGAGGTTTTCCTTTCATCTTTCTAAGGGATTGAAACTTGGCATACAGTTTAGGACATTAACAAATGTATTTTCTTCTACAAAGGATAGCTTGATTGCCTGTTACGGTGTTGCTCAGTTTCTTGCCATATAAATTGTACTTGAAAAGCCAGCTGAATGAAATATATTTTTATATATTTCATCCATTCCTGTACCTCCATTTTTAACATGTATTCTACCTTAGGTCCAACTGGGGTAAATATTATTTTATTAGCAGATAAAAAGTTTCATTGCTTTAAGCACATCTATTTTTACTTACGTGAGACTCCCAAACCATCCCACAGAAAACCAGAGCCAATCCCAGTGATCGTTATGGGGCGAAAAAAGGGATAAGTCATTTTCTTCAAGGGTATTTTCACCTAGCATCTCTTATTCCTTTTCCATCAATCGTGACTATATTTCACATACAGAGGGAAAACAGAACAGAATAACGGGGTGACCCAAGCAACCACCCGGGGAAGGCAAATCCATTACCCACGGAAACAAAGCACTGTTTTCTTTCTCCCCGTTTCTGCCCGGGATGCTCCTGTCCATCCGCAGCCTGGCCCTGCCCCACGGGCAGCCCGTCCAACATCCCCGCTGATGCAGGGAGCACCCGCGCTCCAGGCACCCACGTCCCCGCCGGCATCCCCGGGACTCACCCGAGCACTGTTCTCCAGCAGCACCTTCGCGCAGGCGACATGGCCGCCCAGGCAGGCCTCGTGGAGAGCCGACACACGGTCCGTCGTCACCAGGTTCACGTTGAAACCCTGCAACGCAGGGCAGGAGGCATGAAGGGAAAGCCCTGCCCGAACCACACGGCTTCCCCAGGGCCGGTGCAGGTGCAAAGGGCGGTCGGACCGCGGCAGGGGAGAGCCACGTCACTGGGTGCGTGTCTGGGGAAGGTGCATGTGTTGGATTAATGCTGTTCAGGGCTTCGGTGCTCGTCCCCAAAGACAGCAGCTAGTGGTGGGGTTAAAGAGGAAGCAAGGACAAGCTGTGCCTTCTATTTCTAGCTTTTTACAATGCAGGGTCAATCACAGGAAAGTCATCGTGTTTCTTTAACTTATAAGGGTGGCATTACCTTCCCTATTAAGTCCAGCACCAGGAGCTACAGCTGGTGGGATTCACCTTCCTGAACGGGGACACCTCTGGCACAGGTATCAGCAGCTCGGCTGGAGCCCTCGGCTCCGTCAGTGGGGAGAAACAGGCTCCCCTAGGATGTGATTCGTCCCATGCTAAACAAGCTGTTTCCAACAAGTCGGATGAATTGTGTCCTAAAAATGCTTCCACTGCCTGGGTGGGGTGCCCAGTGTGTTTCACTCAGAGGTAGTAAGTACCTGGTAAACCATAAGATAGATGAGACAAATCCCACCCACGAATCAGTTCCTCTTATTTGACCACCCAGGAAATGTTTTACACTGGAAGAACGAACTGTGATTTACAAATGCCTTGTCATAGATATTTCCCTAAATGGCAGTTCTTACATCTATTCCTGCACAAACAGAAACCAGACATGTTCACAAAGGAGAAAGCAATTGTCATATGTGTTTTCTCCAGAATGTAGCTAAATCTCCTGGTAATTAAGATTTTACAATCGTGTGTGAGAACAGGCCTGGAAGCAGCTCTATTGTCCGCTTGATGTCTTATATTTTGTAACACAGTTGGTCTCTACCTGGTGTGCTATAAACTAGGCAGCTCACAAGATGGCAGCAATGCACTTTTTGGTACGCAGTAGCAAATGCAATGGGCAGAAATAAGTATCTGTGAGCAATGTAACACTGTAAAAAGTCACCAGTCCTGATGCAATGAGCATTAAAAGCAACCACTGCAATCACTTTAAGCTAGAAATTCTATAATAGAAAAACAATCATTTTTCAGTCACGTGAAAGCATTATTAATGCAAAAACTGTCGCTAAAAATTTCCCATACATTACATCAGTGCCAGGGGAATAGATAAAACCTTGAAAAAATGTTGAGATTATTCTATTTTCTAATTGTATAGATGTTTCATACTTAATGATCAGCATATTCCTTCAAGAGGAATGTCTTCTAGAGACTCCTGATAAGGAGACCTATTCTGAATCATTATCCATATATAGATATATTTAACAAATGAAACTCAGTCATTGCAAGCAAAAGCGTAAGTACTGATGTCTTGGTCAAAACAGCAATCCCTTCCATTATGAAATGGAGAATGAATTATAGATCTTACTATAGCTGTTTGCCAAACATTGCTCATGTTAAACCTTGTTTTCAATGTATGTGAAAAATCAAACTCTTCTTTCGGTGCTGGAACAGGCATTGGTGAGTTCTTGAGCTCTTTTAAAACCAGCGTTCCATCATCCCCTTATGTCCAGGCATTGCCTGGAGAGCAGAAGCCTCACTGGTTTTCTTGAAAGCTGTGGTCCTACGGCAGAGACTTCTGAGTGTCCCACATATACCCTAAGACACAGCTCCATATTTAATTTTAGGCTAGTAGTGTAACTATATTAGAAGCAATGAGCAATGATTATGCTGCTCCATGAACAGCTTTGTCCCTACATTTATCAAGCCGTGGTGAATCAGCTCCAATTCAGTCTCTACAGACATTGCTGCCTTGATCTCTTTTCATCAGCAAGGACCCTCATCCTTCACTGCCAAAATTAAATGTCTTCAGGAGAAGGAGAAAGGGTGGATGAACTAAATGATGTATAACCACAACACCAGGTGCTTCTCCAGTGTATAACCACGACCAGTGTACAACCATGACCAGTGTATAACGGGCATCTAGTGTATAACCACAACACCGGGTGCCCCACTAACAAGATGGTGTGAGGTCAGCATAAATGGAGATAGCAGGGGTCAGAAAACCAGCAAAGCCCTGAATGAATAAGCCCCCTTCCTTATTATTCCTAACCTCCATCACTTCCTTTTCCATAAAAATCATTTGATATCAGCAGGTGAAGGAAAGAGGGATCAGGAAATGGGAGGGGGAATACTGGCTGTAAACAGCAACCTCCTTTAGCTGCAGCCATGCCTCGATAGATGTCTGGAGTGGAGGTGTCCTGGTTTCGGCTGGGATAGAGTTAATTTTCTTCCTAGTAGCTGTTACAGTGCTGTGGTTTGGATTTAGGATGAGAATAATGTTGATAACACACTGATGGTTTAGTTGTTGCTGAGCAGTGCTTACACTAGTGAAGGACTTCTCAGCTTCCCATGCCCTGCCAGCGAGAAGCTGGGAGGGGGC